TAGTGAGTACTTGCAACCATACCATACCCCCAAACATCCTCGCTAACCCTATACCTTCTAGAGCGCCAACGTCTGTCACCATCTCACAGTGACAGCCACGTCCGGGTTCAGTCCTACGAGCTGCCCCCAACACCACCTCTGCGCCCCGGCTCTGGCCACGCCCACCGTCGCGCATCTCCCGTGGAGTCGCTCTCTCACAAGGAAGCAAACCACCACCACCACCTACACCGTTCCTCTATCTCCAGCAACAGCTCAATCCACATCCCCCGCAATGCAGCACCCTACGCCTCGCCTGCGCCAAGCGTCTCATCCTACACATCTCCAATCGACGCTCCTCAACAGCCAATGTACTACCCCCGCCCACCGACCACATCCTCTTTCCAGCCCTCAACACCAGCACCAGCCCCCCAGATGCCCCCTGTCCAGGTTCAGACGCAGCAGCCGCACCCGCACTCTCACTCGCCTTCGGCTCTCATCTCCCCTGTCACCCCGGCCTGGCAACACCACCACTACTTCCCGCCCTCCACCTCAGCCCCGTACCAGCAGAACCACGACCGCTATATCTGCCGTACTTGCCACAAGGCTTTCTCGCGCCCTTCCTCCCTGCGCATCCACTCGCACTCGCACACTGGCGAGAAGCCCTTCCGCTGCACGCATGCCGGTTGCGGTAAGGCTTTCTCCGTTCGCAGTAATATGAAGCGCCATGAGCGTGGCTGCCACTCTGGTCGTCCAGGCCCTGCTCCTGCTGCTACAGCGCTTGTTGTATAAGCGGTTGTGGATTAGATGTCTCGGTCCTCTTCTGATTCTTGTAATGTTATTTTTCTTAAAGGTGATTTTTCCTTTGTCAGGTGGGATTTCCTTTGTTTGGCGTTGTGTGTGATGCCGTGATACCCTGGATCTTGGTTTTGATTCTTTCTATCGGATTCCCATTTGGTTTAGATGGGTCGGTTCTATACACTATATAAGATTACGATTCTCAATGTATATTCTATGATGAAGACTGTTCTTCTATGTTTTGTTATCCTGTAGTCGTCTTCGTAGCGTTCGTACTTGTATTCGTTCTTTATTAACCAGAAATCGATGCCCCCGGGCGAGGCATCAACTGCTTCTCGTTCAGACTGCTCAAATCATGAAGAATTTGCCGGGCTGGCAAATTCCAAGGGATCCGTTGACGTGTAAACTGTCATTCTTGACTATCTGTGCCCTAAATGTATCATCAAATCATTACCAACATAACTTTGGAGGTTTTTCCACATAACCATGTATCCTCCCAAAATCCGACCTGCAAGGTAAACACCCAAATGAAAATAAAACATAAACACATAGATATCAAAATCCTCCCGAGCTCTACTCATCCAAAACCCCCCTCACCAACGCAGCAAGACTAGTCTCATACCGCGCAGGATTATGATCACTCAACATGCCACCAGCAAAGCGCAGCTCACCAAACCAAGCATCAACATCCCGGATAAACCGAATCTGCACGCGAGTCGCAGGCCTCCCAAGACGCGGATACCCATCGATCCCGAGCTCTGGCGCCGTAAACGCATCACGCTGCAGAACCCGCATCGTCTCAACGACAAAAACCTCACCGGGTGGCATGAGTTTCGGTGCACGCATCTCATCCCGCAGCAGTTTTAACGTCTTCCAGGCCCAGGCGTCTTCGCCCACCCCATCACCCGCGTTGACGACCAGCGGAGGTTGGTTGACATAGAATTTGTGGATGATGCTTTGGCGGAGAGAATCGCTGACCCGTTGGCGAATGTGAGCTTTGGCGCCCGCGGCGTCGTCTTTGAATGATACTGACGCTGTGTGCATGTCGTGCAGGATGCCTAATGACAGGCTGGGGACTATATCTGAGCCATTGACGATTGTTGTTATTAGGCCTCGTGTGGCGAGTCGTAGGAACGGGGACATCACGGCTGGGGGGCCGTAGGCGTAGACATGGATTGGCCGGTTCGCTGGAAGGGTGTATGTTGGTGGGCTGGGGTCCGAGACGCTGGGATTGCGGTTGCTATCTGCGATCAAGCGGGGACGGGTGGCGGGTTGGTACGAGGCTGTTACGAAAGAGGTACCTGCTGTGGAGGGGTTGGGTTCTGAAATCATCGTTGCGAGAAGAGCTGCGACGCCTCCACCGAGCGAATGCCCGCATAGGACTATACCGTAGTCTTGGAATTCCTCTAGTGCCGCACGTAGGGTGATCATGACTCGGCCGCCGCCGCCCTCCAGGAGCCGCTTGGCTGAGGCGTGCATGCCTTTGTGCACCTTCCAGCTTTTGCCCTGCCATTCGAGGTCGTCGTAATCGCAGGTCATGTCTGTGAGGATGTCCTCAAAGCCCCATGTTCCTCGTAGAGTCAGAACTACGGCTTTGGAGTCATGGTCGATAGAAAGATAGTGGACCAATGGGAAGCCTGTCTCTGTCTCACCAGCTGCGTTCGAGCCACCAGCTGGATCGACGAATGACGATAGAAGAATCGTAGAGGGTGGAAGGCCTGCATTCTCTGAGAACGCACTGTGCTCGTGGCCATCTGACTTAGTACTAGGTAGATTCTTCGAGTCACTAGGAACACCCATGACCGTGAGCGCATTTGAGCCATATGAGGCAGAGGAGAACCGAGAGAACCGGCGAATGTTCTGCACGAAGTGCCTCTCTGGGAAGATGCCTGGAACATAGCCGTCGCGATTGAGCCCCTGGATGGTTTCCATGTCTTCATATGCGCTTTTGCGAGGCCGGTGCGCAAGTAGAAGCGACGTCTCAGACCCTGCAGTCGCTAGGGAATACAGGCTAGGGGTGTATGACTGGGACCTGCGATGCATAGCCGACGAACCGGGCCGGCTATCACTTACAGACAAAGTCCCGTCTGCTTCCGGTCTTGTCACAGATATGGAGTTTCTGCTGCGAACGTGAGTATGGACCGCGGCAGGCGATCCAGAACGCATACCAGGGCCACGAGATGAAAGGAATGTGTCGGTTTGAGTGAGGAGTGACCCTTGGCTCTTCTCTCGCACCGCGAAATGTCCCCCTCGTGAGCCACTGGAGGCAGACCTTTCGTGAGATAGGGCGTGTTTCGTTTGTGATTGTGGTGACCGTCTCTGAGGTGAGTTCGGTAAGGGCGACCTTTGTAAGCCCCGGTTCGGGATAGGGGTTGTCGGTCGATAGTTCAGAGGTTCGGTCTGTCGCTTCTTAAGAGCGGGTCTGCTGGAGACCTCTCGTACAGTCGCTTCCTTCACAGACGCCGTTCCCTTTGTAGGCCTGGGAGGTAGACGAGGACCTGGGATCCCCGATGGCCCGGGTGAGTCTATAGGTGGCTTCTTTCCCAGTGGCCGCTTGGCCTCATTTCTTTCCAGAACAGCTGGCTTAACCTTTTGTGCCAATTTCGCGAATGGGCCTTTGGTAAGTGCAGACTTGGGAGGTTCATTCGGCGAGTCGGGAGTTGTTCCACGGTGCTTGGGAGCGATGGCCTGTGTGGCATCGGGATGCGAACGCGAACGATCATGATGAGACTTCACCGGACTGGTGGATAATGGGCTGCCCGGCAATGCTCGTTTATGATGATCAGGCTCAGGTAGGGCAAAATTTCCAGAGCCGTCGTAGGGTCGCAACTGGGTGTTCTGGGATTTGTTGAAGGCTGTTCTAAACACCACTGTATGGCTGGGAAACCGCCTCTGGCCATCGGCCGTATTCCTATCCCCATAATCCTGATCATGGTGGAATCTCTCCTCTATCAGTTTCGTTCCAGGCGGGGCGGCGATCTCTGCCATATCATCATCGTAGATATCGACTGTGATCGTTCGAGCCGTCAAAGCTTCCGATCTGATAGATGCGTGACAGCCCTGAGGAAGTTGGCTCATGATATAAGCGCGGATATCTTCGTCGGACACTTGCTGCTGACCGTCCAACGGAACAGAGAGACGACGCCCAAACGAATCAGACACGCTCGACCGTCGAACTACATCAAAAGCTTCATCGCCATTTCCAGGCATCACAAAGGAAGCACTGCCAGGCTCAACCAACTCTTCGTTGTTGCGCTCGGGAAATTGCAGTTGATGGGATCCGATCACGTCTGCTCTTGCACCGTTGTCCAGAATGACAACATCCCAAACAATCTCATCCCCGCCATTCTGCCGCAGATGTCTCTCGGTATTCTTCTTACCCCAGCGCTGCAATAGCGCGAACCCTAGGGAGCCAATGAGAAGATCTCCGACACCGATGTTCTCTGTACTTGCGCCGGGTTCAACAGATCTAAACTCACGTCGAATCAGCGTGATAATAGCCGCAATGGCCCTCGAAGACTCCGTGGATCCAAGAATGGCATCCAAAGTAGACAGAAGTGCCTGCGAGAGATTCGCAACCGAAGACAAAGTGGTCGCCGAGAAATGAAATGTCGCCGCGGCGAAAAAAGATGCCGAGGTCACCGTCGTGTGGAGCGTCGCCAACTAGGGGGTGTTACTCAAGACCAAGTCGATAGCCCTGGAGGTTTCAGGAACATACACTTCGCTCGAGGAGAGACTCGGCTTCTGTCCTGCCGTGTTCATCGCCACTACGAATGGCGACATCTCGTCCTGCCCTGGTCAAGATCCCCTCGACCAAAGCCCGGCTTAGTTCCAAGCTGGTCAGAGTCGTGGCTCGCGCGCCATCCAGGGCCGCCCCGCCAAAGAACGTGCCCAGTCGCAACGATAGTGAGGTTGACTGGGTAATCAAAGATATCAACGATGCGACTGGTCGCGGAAGCAGAGTCGATCCTGTCGGAACGTGAGCGTGCGTGCGCGCATGGTCTAGATCCATCTCGACATCGGGTTTTCCCCGGTCATTCGACTTTGTAAACATAAGAATAATGGATATTCAACCCATGAAGATTATTTTACATTTACAGTTTCGCTATCCCTCCATGTAGGTTGTAAGCTAGTGCTGGTAGCCCAACAATTGAGGATCGGCCTTTCACATGTGATCGACTTCCAATATTCCTATACACGTTACTATGTCCCTGGTCTGATTCACTCTACATCATCGCTTTCAGGTCGCCACCGTATCGCACCTTGCGAATCTGACTCCGGTCGCAATCTTTCACCGTTCGAATCCCTGATAGGCCCATGTTCTGCCACAAATCGGTCAAAAGCCCCTTGAGGACCTGTCTGGCCCCGTCTCTGCCCTGAATACTCAGTCCGTAAATCACCGGTCGACCAACAAGAACTGCTTTAGCTCCTAAGCACAGTGCCTTGATCACATCCGAACCTGTCCGAATCCCCGAGTCAAAAAGTACAGTCATCTTCTCCCCGACTGCATCGACTATTTCCGGAAGGACGTCCAAAGACCCGATAGCACCATCCACTTGACGACCTAGACGGAAATTAGAAATGAATAGGAAAAGCAGATGAAAGAACCTACCACCATGATTTGATACTACAATCCCATCACACCCATGTTTCAGCGCTAGCCTCGCATCCTCCACGTGCTGAATTCCCTTCAACACAATCGGCCCATCCCAATTCTTCCGCAAGAAAGCCAAATCCTCCCATGAATGCGGACTTCCGGCGAAAATGCCACCGATCCATGCGCGCGAAGCACCAATAATATCCTCCTCAATCTTCGATCCAGTTTCCTTCTCGAACTTCGCGCGGAAAACAGGATCGCTAAACCCGACCTGGTTTCCCACCCCCTTGATAAAGGGTACGTAGGCGTTATCCAAATCCGCCGGTCGCCACGCCAGCGACCAGGTATCCAAGGTAACAACCAGAACCGAGAACCCGTTCTCTTTCGCGCGCTTTAGCAGCGATAGCGTAATGTCGTTGTCCTTCGGCCAGTACAGCTGATACCATCGCTTCCCGTCCTTGTTGGCGGTCGCAACATCTTCAATCGAGCTCGTGCTCGCCGTGCTCATCGTATACGGTACCCCGACTTCCTCACATACTTCTGCAAGGCCTGTCTCCTTGTCTTCGTGGAAGATACCCTGTACGCCGACCGGTGCCACGATAAGGGGATTATCGTATTTCTGACCGAAGAGCTCGACCGAAACGTCTTGCTCGGGGGTCTGGGTATGCCATCCGTCAGCGAGAACGTAGTCGTAGTTCATTGTATATTGCCTCAACTCACATTTCGCATCATCCGTGGGATTCTATCGGCCTCCGTTAGTTTTCCTGAGTATCGCGGTAGACATCTAGAGACTTACAGCTTCCACTGCCGGAATGCCAGCCGATTGCTATCCATTGTCGCTTTCTCGCCTGCTCCGCCGGCGACATAGTTGAATGCGCGAACGCCTAGAGACTCTCGAGCTTGCTCTTCTAGCTTGCGGGGGTCGGTGGTTACGCCGGGCAGGATGCTCATCAAGGCACCCTTGCCGTAGATCTCCGTTTGGTAGCTACCGTAGTTATCAGACATTGTAAATCGTTGTAAATCGTTGATGAAAGTTAGAGAATCATAGTTCAAAGCTGGGGCCAGCTAGGCCCCCGGTGATGCGGAGTTGAATTGAGCCGAGGTTACATAGCTTCATGCATTAACAACACGTTGCGCAAAACATTCTGTTTTCTGTTTTATAAAGTCATTGCCATTCCATAATACGCAGAAAGTCTGTGAACTATAGCTTTCGAGTCATCCATAATTTACCTTGCTTCGAGCTCTAAGTCGCTCACCATACCTCCAAAGGACAACAGGTACCCACAACAACAGCAACAACAGCAACAACAGCAATCATATTAGTCCTCCATCCATAACCCAGCGACTGATACATCCTCAGATTGAAAAGAGGAAATCCGGACCCCGTCAATCCACGAAGAATGTAAACAGCGCCTGTCGCACTAACCGGATACAAAGTAAAAGCCTCATACAGATATGCACTGGCACACTGAGACAGAATAATCGCAGTGTGGGTGAACAGCCCGATGCCAAGATCAGGCACAATCCGATGCGTGACGGCCTGCGCTCCCCATCCGCACCACAGCAGACCGACCGGGGGGAGGATCGACGCGGGGGACATGAGAACTACTCTGAATTCTGGGTTGCCATTTTCGCCATTCTTCTTCTTCAGGGCTCTGCACATTGGGTTGCGAGAAACCCGCATACCTGTGAACTAAGGAATTATCCGATCCCCAGCGCGATGTAGTTTAGACTAGCTGGGCCGACTGGCTGGTGGTATTTCTCTTCCTAGAGAGTCGTGAAGGTCAAGAGTACTAGGTACATTAGCCTGTATAGATAGGCGTAGACGATGGCTAGGACCTGGACGATGGGCTGGACTCCTAGGAGCTGCAGGGGTCGGAGAAGAGAGTTGTGGTATAACTGGCCGAGAGTCTGGTCTGGTGTCTCATAAGATGTCCTCAATAGAAGAGTGCTTGTAAAGGCCATTTCCATCACCTTCGCCTTTCTCCTCGCGAGGATGACAGGTGGATATGTCCACGAGCAAGGCCCCGTCAAAGATAGACATCGCCTAGAATGCCTGGCGCCATGTTGTGTATTGTGTGATAAACCCATTAACGACAGCCTCAATGGAAGGTCCAAAGACAGACGCAAGATTGTAGCATCCTCACAACAAGTCCACCTGCGTCTCCAATGCCACCCAGTAGACGGGAAGCGAGTAATTCCCCTTTATTTCGAGCGAACCCAAACACCAGGTTGAAGGCCAGGTAGAATGAATTCCCCGAGCGCAAGACTGCGGCTCTTCCAAATAGCTCAATGGGCCTAGTATCAGAGGGCCTAGACAGTATGTCAGAACGAAGGTTGAGAGTGCCAGGACTGCTTTTATGAGGTGCCCTGAGCTGCCCATTGCAATTCGTTTTTGATGGTGCCCAACTCTGGTGCGACAATCGACGAAAAAAGTGGCATTACAAATACTGAAGGGGGGATACCAAGTATTATGGTCCATTTCTTTGATTTGGGCCAGTTCAGTGGGTTTCCGGGTTCGTTGTCTTCAAAGGTGATGGTCAAGCACTGGTGGGTTTGTTGTTGATTTCATCATAGACTTGGAAAGGAAGGATATGCCATTTGGACTTGGCTGGCTCATGGCCTCAGCCCAAGTAAAGATATGCACTGGCAACATAGAAATGTTGAAGGGCACATTCCTTCTGAGCCGGAGAGCTCGATGAAAGCTAGTATTTTGATACTAGACCGATTAAGCGTTTGCGCCTGCGACAGTAGCAACACATGCTGTCCCATTGGCTGATAGACTAGGTAGCCCTAAAAAGGATTCCGAGTCGTATTAATGCAAATATCGGGAATAGGTAGGGATATTAGCACATCCAGCACCTTTGCGTGCCTGACACTTTTGCATGAGTAGGCTTGTGAACTTGAAAACCTGATGTAGTGTTCTTGAGCAGAGTGGACGATCTTGGTCGGATCTACCGACTTCGACCCAACAGCTCAAACCAGGCAAAGGAGAGGTTTTGGTTCCGGCTTTTGATCAATTAAAATAATTTTATTGCTAACCGCAAAGAATTGCATGCGAGCTGAAGAATCAAGAACATTCGTGGGTATCTCAAACAAAACAAAGTATAACAAAAGCGCGCATCAACGAGGAGGATCTTCCCCCCACGAGAGAGAATCACGCCGAGTTCCAGATTTTGATAGTCATGTCATCAGACGTATAAACTACCATGTTCTCGTCGCACGACAAAGTAATGGCCCTAACCCACCCAGAATAGCCCGTTAAGACTCGGACGCAGGCAAACCCTAATGGCACAGCCCATACGCGGATTGTCAGGTCATCGGCCGCTGATGCCACCAGGTTCCCATCAGTGCAGAATGTGATCACGCGCAGAGGTCCAGAGTGTCCTCGGAGGACGTTGAGCATGGCGCCAGAAGTCGTGTCCCAGATGCGCAGGTCCTTGTCCTGCGATCCCGACGCCAGCAGCTTCCCATTAGGAGAGAAACAGACAGCCCTGATTGAGGATTCGTGGCCACTTAGTCGATGAATTTCATTGCCGGTAGCTGTGTCCCAGAGGCGAATTGTATTATCGTCCGAGGTTGAGGCGACAGTTTTTCCATCGGGCGAAAAGGCAACAGCGCGCACCCAACCCGAGTGCCCATTGAGAGTTTTGAGCAGCGAACCCGAGCTTGCATTCCATAGTCGTACAGTGAAATCATCTGAGGCTGAAGCGAGGGTTCTCCCATCGGGGGAAAATTCTACCGCTCGAACTTTACCAGTGTGGCCCTGCAGCATGCGGTAGGTGAACCCGGTGTTCACGTCGCTGATGCGGATGGTCATATCATCGGAGGCAGTGGCCAAGAATCGACCTGTGGGGGAAAATCTCACGGAGCGCACCCAATTGGAATGGCCATTGTCTTTTGCGGCGCTGCGCTGGAGACCGGTGTTGGCGTTCCATAAACGGATCATCATGTCATTGGAGACCGAGGCGAGGATTTGACTATTGCCGGAAAGGGCCACATCCCAAACGAAGCCAGTATGGCCATCAAGAGTTTTGGATGCGACTAACTTCCCAAAGGAAGGAGTAACTAGGTCCGCCATTGGTTGAAGCGGTACTTTTTGATTTTGATGGATCTTGGTTGTGCGAGACCCAGGAGAACAGAAAGGGAAGGCGCCGTTGTTCCAGATCAGCTTATGGCGTAGAAAGGAAAGCAAAACACCAAATTCAGAAGTCGTCTGTAAAGCTCTGTAATACGCGTGGACGTGAAGGATTTCTCATAGTGAGAAGTGAAGTCATGAGAGATGTGTGTCCGTCAGCAGTGCATTGCGGGGTGAGCAGAATTGCAGGGGAAAAAAGTCCCGTTCATATCAGATATCAATCCTAATTGAATATGGTGCAGAAGGAATCAGAAAGTGATAGTTCCTCTTTGCAGCAAATAATAGGCACAAATAGGCAAAAATGACGGCGGGATTCGCTATTAGGTAAGCTGGCTAGCCCGGTCTATCTTGATCTGCTGACCTTCCTATTTTGCTCTGTAAACTGGGACTTTTATACGTCTAGAACAGAGACTTGCTATAGCTATGGATACATGTCCCACGGATGTCTCTAGACTCCTAGGGGCTTGCTAGATCGGTCTTGACTTGTATTGGCTCCCATGCATGTTGGCCTCAGGCGCCGATGTCTTACATCATCATATGCGAATCCCGAGGAGCTCAGTACTCAGGACTACCCAGGTACATTGTTAATTGTTTCAATATCTCGATGGTTACAATTATGATGCAATTTTAGAATAAAATTCGAAGAAATAGAAGAAATGGAAGAAATAAAACACAGTTACCTCCAGGGCTACCTAGGTAGGTCATAAGTACTGCTCTTATCAATCGGCTGCAGGGGTGCTTATCCAACTTCTTGGCGCTTGGCAACTTTAATTCTTCCTTTTCGCTTTTGGCTTTTTGCCTGAGATTTTCCCATTGATCTTGGAACATAAACGAAGTGACCTCGGGAAATACATAGGCCCAGGGGCCGAGTCCATCCCTCCGTTCTTGCTATCCGATCTTTGGCTTCTCACCATGGGCCATGCTGAACCTGGCACCGGTTCACCTAATGACCAACATGTGCCTGATGAATTCAGCTTAGGGCCAACTCTGGACGAGGACAAGATTGAGAAGACTCTGATCAGGAAGATCGACCTACATATCCTTCCTCTCGTGGTGTTGTTGTACCTTTTCAGTTTCCTAGATCGAGGTACGTACGTGGGGTTGTCTGACTCATCCCTTTGCGATTGCAACTGGCCCTGTACCAAGTTCGGAATCGAAAACATTGGCTGACTTGGATATGCAGTCAATATTGGAAATGCACGATTGTACGGCCTGGAAGAGGACTTGGGACTTGTTGGCAACCAGTACCAAGTCTCAGTGTCCATCCTTTTCGTGACCTACTGTGTATGCATATCACGCCATCCAGACAACGCACAGACGCTAACCCTAATTTAGTTCTTTGAGGTCCCTTCAAATCTCGTACTCAAAAAACTAAGGCCGTCTCGGTATATTGCCACGATCTCAGTGATCTGGGGTATCATTGCAACCCTCACAGGGATCACTCAGAATTATGGCGGCTTGATTGCCTGCCGAATCCTACTGGGAGTCGTAGAAGCAGGTCTTTTCCCGGGCTTTATAACCTACCTCACTCTCTTCTATAGCAAACGCGAGATTGCCTTGCGAACAAGCTACCTGTTTAGCAGTGCAGCTATTGCGGGAGCCTTTGGCGGATTACTGGCTTATGGCATTGGGTTTATGGACGGCATCTGTGGACTTCGAGGCTGGCGCTGGATCATGATCATCGAGGGGATTCCGACAGTTCTAATTGGTGTGGTAACTTGGTTCGCCTTAGCGGATGACCCGGACACAGCTTACTATCTCAACAAAGAGGAGCGGGCGCTTGTTGCCCTCCGGCGGAGTCGTTATATCGGCCAGACAGAGTCTGCCCAGAAGTTCCACTGGGCAGATGTGAAAGAGGGTGTCTTAGACTGGAAGATCTGGGCGTTCTCCATTGGCCAGTTTGGCATTGATACCATGCTCTATGGATATAGTACCTTCCTTCCTACTATTATCAAAGGCATGGGCAACTGGACCGCCGCCGAGGTCCAGGCATTGACAATCCCTTGCTATGGACTGGGTGCTATTGCCTATCTGTGCGTCGCCTGGTTGAGCGATCGCTCGCAACACCGTGCATTTTTCATTTGTCTCTTCTGCGCTATCTCAGTCGTTGGCTACGGCATCCTGATTTCGGACTCGTCCTCGGGTGTCCATTACTTCGGTGCCTTGATGGTCGCCCTGGGCCTTTACGTTGCTGTTGGTTTACCTCTCGCCTGGCTGCCTACGAACCTGCCACGATACGCAAAACGCACCTATGCCACTGGCTTGCAGCTTACCTTTGGAAACATCAGTGGAGTCATGTCCCCTTTCTTGTATCCCAATTCCGAAGGCCCGCGCTTTGTCCGTGGTAACGCTGTCACTATGGGTATGGTGGCTTTTGCGGGTATCGTGTATGGTGTCATGTGGTTCTCCTATCGGTTTATCAACAAACGCAGAGCGCAGGGTCTGGAGGACGAGAAAATATCATCGCTGTCGGAGCAGGATATCCAGGAAATGGGCGATCGAAACCCCAGGTTCTTGTACAGCATTTAAATACTCAAGCTGAGCTATCTCCTTGTTCCCTTGTTTGTGAATGGGTCTTTCTTTTGCATGAATTGCATGATATCTTCTGCATACAGCGGGGCATATAAAAGGTCGTCGGCCATCAAGCCGCCACAGGCCAATATTTACCATAATATGTCAGATACAAGAACTGCATATAATTAATGTCGCATACCCAGCTACTGCATTTTACTAGATACATCGAACTCTTGTCGAGGGCAGACATGGTTTGCTAGTAACAGCCAGTGGGAGTTGATCTAGGTCACGAATTTGAAGGATGACGAGGGGGGTTCTATACTCGCAGAGGACGTCCGCACCTTCCACCTGCGCACCCGGGTAGATGCTACCAAATTACTGATTAGGCTACCGCTGAGGAAAATACCATGGATAACATCCGCGATAACTGACACTTTCCAGAAAAATGATGATGTCATTCCCAACTTCCCCACGATTTAAGTCTACAAACATCAAGTTCTCCGCTCTGACTTCCAAATCCTCACCATTAAGAGATCTTCGACTTGATAGCAACCACAATCAAAAACAATGAAGAGCTTCAAGCCTCTGAACCGGGCACTTCAAGCAGCCACCACCACCTACCCCACGTACTCACATCCCCTCCGCAGCACCTGTTACCTTCAAGCACAGAAAATTCCTCAAACAGAGGACCTCATCCTCGAAAGGTGTATTCTCAACCCCGAACGAGCAGAAACCTGCCAATCAGGTACAGATGACGAAGTCGGGCGTCACAAATCTCCATACGACCCGTCCAAAACAGCACCTGAGAAGGAACACCTCGCGTTGGAGGAAGAATACAGATTGGAAGGGGATACTATTCATGACCCGCTTTTTGTCAGTCCTGCAAATAGGGATTTCAGTCAGCTTTTGGATCCAATGGCTGGCGTCCATGGTTTACAACACTTGAGGAGTGTCAAGGGCTGGACTAGAAAGGGGAAGGAGGCACTTCTAAGAAAGGCGCCATACGAAATGAGGAAATATGAGAATGTATTTTTTGAGCTTAGGAAGCCGCATCAAAAGGTTTGGTTTTGAGATTTATATGATTGGCCTTAGCGCTGGCTGACATGGTCATAGAAGGGTTGAGTCCACCAGTTTACCAGGATGTTGTCCAATCTTCTTCATTAACAAGTTGTTATTAAATTGAGCACAATGACATTTCCCGATTTGCTTTTGATCAGTTCTTGCACATTGTCGGTATACAAGATATTTAATCTATGTCTGAGCAAATTTTAGCTTAGCCCAACCAGGACCCCATTTTCGTTCTCGAATGTCATGCTAATCCTTTCCGTCTACTCTTTAGTATTATAGTTGAATACATTCGAAAAGGTCTGGAAGATACGAGCCACAATGTACGTGAGCACAGTCATAGCATACTGTTCTGGATTGTCATCAGTTGGTGTGGACCATAGTAGCAAGGGAAGAAAACTTACGACCAGGGCAAATTCTAGGACCCTTGTTGAACGGGACGAAGCCAGGAATTTCACTGTTTAGGTGTTCCCATCGCTCTGGATAAAATTCCTCTGGATTTTCTCCAAAGTCTTTCCCTAGGCGATGCCGAGCCCAGGCTGAAGATACCACAATGTCACCTTTTCGAACTAAAACTGGCCACTGGCCATCGACTCCTCCACCACTTGGCATTGTGGAATGCTTGTTTGCTACTCTTGCGTTAAACACAACGGCAGGGAAAACTCTCATTACTTTGCAAGCTATGGGTCAGTGCATCCTTGATGCTAAATGGTTGATCAGGCTTTCCTCACCTTCCTGGAGCGCCCAGCGAACATAATGCAATATTCCAAGCTGAGTTACGTTGGTGGCGTAAATCCAATGGCATCGATGATGCCCGTTCGGAGCTTCTCGACGATACGTTCGTCCTGGGATAAGCAATAGAAAAGACCCGAGAGAGTGGTGCTCATGCTGTCATTTGTGAGCAGAATGCTCATTGCCTGGTCGGCAAACTGGGAAACTTCTTCCAACCTGTTGTTGGAATCATTGCCAGCACGCCCACCTTTTGTCTTTTCAATCCTGCTGCTGCTCCGTCTTTCAGCTTCCCGCCTGGCACGAGCCATTACATATTTCCGTGCTCTCCAGCACGACCGGTGGAAAGCTCGCTTAGGCACCAAATGACGGAGTGGGCCACGAAAACCATCTCGCACGATCCTCTCTTTGACGATATCAAGGTCGTCTACGAACTGCTTCTTTTCTTGGGATTGAGTAAAGCTGAGGGCATCAACAGACTCTCCGAGAGAGAACCGGGTCTGCATATCCAAAGCGAGAGCAGAAGTACAACGTCAACGTCAAAGACCTGGCCATTTGGTGGAACATGTTGAAGAATGGCCTGGAAGTGCTGTTCACATAATCCCAGGTCAATGGCCTTGCAGAGGTTAGACAGCCGATTCCGCAACTGCTCCCGACTTCTCTTCCAGTGTGCGCCGTCAAGAGTAAAAATCCCATGTGGAGTGATTGGCTCGAACAGGGGTTTCCGCAGGGGAGAACTATCGAAATCGGCAAATACTGTGGACAATCTATGCTTTATGTTTTCTGCACTGCAGGTGAAAACCAATCGGTGGCCGAGAACATTGGAAGCATATGTCTCACCATACCCCTGGAACAGAGAATTTGTATAGAGGAGTGACGTTCGCCGTCGAAATGAGAAGCCAATTTTACTGCTTTCAAGATACCGAAGGCGTCATATCGGAAAGTATCGCTTTCGTCAGCGAGCTTCTCGCAGCCATACAGTTGTTCGAGTGTCCGCAGTTTTCGGATCTGGTATAGTCTTCGTGCCAGGAGAACAACTGGAATTCCAATGCAAGCCAACAAAATAGCCGGTACGAGACTCCCTTGCCCGGTAGCACCTGGTGATGGCTGGATCCCCATAGTTGAGATATTGCGTTGGTCCGCAGATAAAGCAGTGCTCATCGACGGACGGCACATGTTTCGAATCACCCCCAGGACTGGCTGTCTGCTCTTCGCAAAAGAAAAATATTTGACTGATTAGGTACTATTACGGGGATAATGTGTTATATTATTGTACCACAACACTGTCTTGCCAAGATCCACTTGAATACAGATTACGCTATAGATCACACTGCAGATATATTACTGCCACAACAGCACACATTTTTGCTTCTTAAACTAATGTAGCTACGACTAAAGTAAGAGTTCGACATTCCTATTCATTCCGGTTCAAAGATTTGTAAGCAGATTGGCCTCATCTATAAATTTACTTATCTTGCAGCTTGCACATTATTTCACTCTCAACAATTGACAGAGACACATTATGAACATGACCTCACGAGAAGAGTATGACGCTTCCTCCCTTCTTTCTCAGGTAGAGCATGCGTTGAAGCTTTCAAACGACTATGCTCTCGGGTTGGTACATCCTGATGGTCATTGGTACGGCGAGATGAATACCAATGTCACTATCACTGCAGAGTATATCTTCCTTCGACAGGCCTTGGGACTAGACCTCAAAGCTGACGTCGTAGCTTACTGCCGTTATCTACTATCTCAACAGAATAGAGTGGTTCCCCCATAGCGCCGCAGGCCTCATCGGCAATTCATTATTCTATTCCTACACGCTGCTTGTTGCAAGCAAGGTCCTCCAAGATATCAACTTGACGTACGTAGCGTCAACGAACCGCAAGGCCCTCATGGAGCACAGAACCAAACAGCAAGTTGAGGCCATGACTGCCATCCAGAGAGAGAATTTTATGAAAGCAGCGCCTGTGGTTGGAGACTCGAAACCGCTTTTCATGGCCGCTACTAATCAGCACAAAGCTAGATACTTTGAAATGGACTGGTCGGCGGCTGTTATTGCTCCCGATGTGCCCTTAAGTGGAAGGCCCCATGCCCTCGGTAGGCCATCTTACATCAACGACATTGAGTATTGCCAAGTACCCGACTCGTAACATTGTGAGAATCATTGGGAAATACGCAGCGGGTGATTGGCATCTTTTTTTCAAGGCTAGAGACGGCGCATGGCCGGTGATCCATCAAGAGTTACTGGATCTGATCGACACAGACATGCGGGATTAACATGTTTCTCGATACATCATACTTTGGCCCCAGGCGCCGTTTCAGCTGCTAGTTACCCACTTGCATCACTATATATTTGAGATTATAGTAATATTATAATTGGACGTATCTCCAAAGCTAAATGACCTACAAATAGGGGTTAAAGATGTGTCCTAATGGTTATCGTCCTTGTGTGATGTGTGGGACCGAAGGCCCTGAATGGTTTCTCCTTACAACATACGCGAAGTCCCTAGGTAGAACTACTCTCGGCTCTCCTTCATAACCCGAATTGGAGACGGATAGATGGCTATATCTATGTTACTTTTCTGTTATACAGATACATAAATGCCAGTATATCCCATAAAGCGAGTTCAGCCTTCAGTTAGACAAATTTCCCACAAATTCTCGTATTAATCGCTCCATCTCTTCCGGGGCCTCGGTTTGTGGAAAATGCTGGACATCCTTGAGCACCTCCAGCTTGCAGGACGGCATCTCTTGCAGAATTGGAGTGATCAGTTCTTCCGGAGCAGCTGCATCATTCTCCCCCACCACCACCAGAGCAGGGACCCTGATCATGGAATACCTATCGCCCATTATAAAGCTCAGGAGCGCATTGGCATTATTCCGACGACCATGAGCGGGCCACTTTGCCGCTTCCATGGCTGTGACTTTTTCTAGCCCCAGACTGGTGTAAAAGGCGACGCATTGGCTCGGGTTTTCCACGCCAGAGGTGAGAAGCTCCTGCGACAGAAACTTTTGCATAAGTTCACCGTCATAATAAGCCGCTGAGAAGATAATGCCGGCGACATGATCCGGGTGGGCGAGATAGTATGCTGCGGCGATGTTGCATCCCATAGAATGGGTCACGAGCACAACGCTATCGGTGACGCCACATGCTTGCAGGACATTGCGCAAGTCAGCGGCATGACGGGGGATGGAGTAGCTGTCGGCAGATGTCGGCTTGGAGGAGCGCCCGTACCCCCGGTTGTCGTAGGAGATACAGCGGTACTGCATGTGCAAATTCGCGATCAAGGGTTGCCAGATGTTGTCGACACCGAAATAACCAGATACAAAGACGATGATGGGACCAGTGGTGCCCTGGGATCGGAAATAGATTTCCTGGCCGTCGTCGGTTGTTGCGAAGCTCATAGCGAACGATTGAGATATAGACTGTATGGATTGTCGATTGGATAGAGTTGATGTCCAGTTAATGTGAAGAACAGAATCGAGCTATGGGATAGTACCTGTGAACAGGCTTTTATATGAAGAAGCATTAGTAAGGTCCATTAATGAGCTCCACCTGGGCAAGGTTGCCGGTGGGATAACCCGAACATTCTTCCCGCTTATTCTTTCTCTTCATAGGGATCCTTCATTTTGTAGCAGTCACTGGACATCAACGTCTGTTCGAATTAAAGATTGGCTGCAATGCGCCTAGCTATGTCGTTGGGGTTTGCATCTCGAATATATAATTAGCGAGGGCACAATAGAAGCAAGGATATGTAGGCAAGACAAGCCCAAAGTGAACTTCAGGATGACTGACCTCTGGAGATTACATATGTAGGTAACCTTGGAAGCAGACCTGAACTCAGGTTGTGGAAAGTAGAGTGAGTTAGAGTGACTTTCGTTCTCAGGCGCCATTTCCAGCTGCTAGTTAGTCACTCGCAACACTATCCATGGATCCAACATCTGAAATTATAGTAGTAATTCAATGGTCCAAATTCAACTGATTCAAACTTCGTAAGTTGATATCTCTCAGTGGTCATATGACCGTACCCATATTATCGAGCTCTTACAGTCTGCCTTTCTTTCATAGCTCTACAGCTTCCAGCAGGATCATCGTATTGTGCTTTCATGCTTCATGATGTTACCGACCAACTCCTAGACTCAAACAATTCTCCCGAGACAGAAATCACTCCAGGCCCAGATCCACGCACTAAACTCCGCCCCTTTGCCTGCCACGGAGACGAGAATCGACGGTCAAAGGTTCAAATGCCTCTTCGAGATTTTGTCTCATTCACCTTTTGCCAAGTCTGCAGCAACAGATCAGGTCTAAAAATCGCATGCTCAGTATCCTCTTCTCTAGCTGAGCGGACGTACACAGTTTGGCCCCGGAGGTCGCCGAATTAGTGGGTCGCTCCCTTACGCGCCTCCACTTCGATCTCGGCATTTCGGCCTCATTTACTATACACCCCTGCAAAGTGGGCTTCAAACAACACCAAGATCGCCGATTAAGGGCCTTGAGGTGGGATCAATGGATGTGTTCGACCCTGATAGAAAATATATCCGACTAAGCCGTGGGCTCTCATAAATACTCTTTGTATAAATAGTTACCCATATCACTTTGCGACTAAGCACAGAGACGTCTCTGAAAAATTGAATGAGGAGATAATGCCCGAACTAACGGAGCAGCCGCAAAAAGATGCCATTGTATCAGATTGGGCCAATGATCCTGATAATGCAAAGAATTGGTCGACAGCCAAAAAGCTTTACAACACTGCTGTGCCTGCTTTACTATGCTTTTTGATGTAGGTGAGCATTTCATCGTGTATGTGATAACATTGCTAATAGAAGAGGCATCTTGCAGATCATTCGGACTTGCGATTTATTCGCCATCTCATGAAAGCGCTCAAAAGGATTTCCACACTACCACCACTCTCGCCCTCCTCCCCTTCATGGTATACGTGTACGGCCTCGCATTTGGCCCGGCTGTCTCGGCACCTCTAAGTGAAACATTTGGTCGAAGATTTATTTATGTCTTTGTGACCCCGATCGCGTTGTTGTTTATTCTGGGTGCCAGTTTCGCGAAGAACCTTACGACTCTTGCCATCTGCCGGCTGTTGGCCGGTATCACAATCTCTGCGCCGCTCGCTGTTGGTGCAGGGACTATCATGGACATGTGGACAGGGGCAAACACCAATCGCGGTGTGGTCTTGATCATGACCATCGCATTCCTCGGGCCAGCGCTGGGCGAGCTGGTAGGTGGTTGGATTGCACAATACAAGGACTGGCAGTGGTCACTGTGGACTACGCTGTTCCTCGGCGCGGGCGTCTGGATATTTGCGCTGGGAGCCCAGGAGACTTATGCGGGGCCTGTGATGCGTCGTAAGGCTAAAAAACTTGGCTTGCCCATACCCCCGGCGCCTATCCCAGCCGGCATGGCTGGAGTTCGTTTCATGGTCACGGTCACGCTGGTGAGACCACTTTACATGCTCATTCGCGAGCCTATTGTGACACTTTGCTCACTCTACTCCTCTCTGAACTTCTCTATCCTCTTTTGCTTTTTGGCATGTATTCCGCTGATTTTCAGCACCACATACAACTTTACGCCAGGAGAAAGCGGGCTCGTGTTGATTGGAATTGCTGTGGGATGTGTTCTTGGGGGTATATTTTTGGTGCTCCTTGATTCTTATACTCTGAAGCGACATCTCTTCAAGTACAGAAATGTCACACCACCACCAGAGCGAATGCTGTGGGGCGCAATGATAGGAGGTCCTTTAATGGCCTCTGCATTATTCTGGTTTGCTTGGACTGCCCAGCCAGGGATCCATTGGATTAGTAGCATTGTGGCGACAGGTCTGTTTGGTTTCTCAAACATTCTGGTCTTTGTGAGTTTTCAGTCCGTTCGCATTGATTACTACAACGTCGCTGACGAATTTGTTGCTAGGTTTCGACAATGCTTTACTTGACTAACGTATATGGTGCCAAATACGGAGCATCGGCGCTGGCAGCCAACGGGCTACTGCGATATCTGGTCGGTGGCTCATTTCCCCTGTTCACAATTCCAAGTATGTCGCTCCGTCTTTTTCGTCCCAAGAGGCATCTTTCTCATATCTTTCTCAGTGTACAGAAACCTTGGTTACCCTTGGGCCTCGAGCTTGCTAGGGTTTCTGGCAGTCGCGTTCGCCTTTTTGCCGTGG